ATTTTGCATTTTTATGGGTCAACTATGATATTGTTATAGCTGTATTTCATTGTGAAACATGAAGTATGAAGTGGTTTTTACAGAATCATGACAATAGTGCATGTCATAAATATGAGAACATTAAAAATCGGAGGTAATTATATGTTTCCAAGCAATTCAACCCAAAAATGTGGCTTTTATCTACGTCTTTTTTACTCATATCATATTTATGATTTATAGAATAGTAAAATTATGTATTTTCCTACTTACTCTACTTCCAATTCTAAAAATAGTTATTTGCTTGATAAAAGTTTTGTTTTTAAAAAACTAAAACCAAACATATTTTTAGAATTGACTACAAACATATTTTTTAAAAATATTATATGAAACAAAACCTGTGCGTATGCACGGGTAAAAGCCTAGTGACATCAAAAGTCTCTGTCGATTTATTAAATTTTAGTTATATCTAAATAAAATAAGATTAAAAAATCTCAAACATTAATTGAAAATCATAATAAAAGCTAAAACACAAAATCCATTGAGATACAATGTTCAAAATAACATAAAACATAAAAAAACTATAAACATACTGCTACGATAGTAGAAAAAAATACATAATGTTATGCTAGATCTTATTATTATTATTTTATCATATAAAAAGAATATTTCAACGTAAATGTGATACATAGGATTCTTATAAGTCATTATATCATAACATTTGTCACGATTAATTAAAATCTTGCATGTGTCAATGTAATAATATAAATTTTGCATTTTTAATTATTTACTTTAAAAAGGAAAAAAATTAAAATATAGATTTTTTCAATAAAAATTAACAAATAGAAAAAGTAGAATAAATTAAAAAAATAAAATACCATATTATAGAAATTATGTTTTTGGAACCTTAAGAGAGATTGTTTATAAGATTTATGATTAATGTATGAATCAAATTCTAATTTTTTAATTGCTAATTATAAAGCATTAATTATAAATAACTTAACAGGATTTTAATTTAAATTTAATTATATAAATCATAATTACGCAAATAATCAATTTTAAAATCTAAAATTTTCTTAATTCTCATGTATCACGTGGAATCTAATTTAGTTATTATCTAAAGCTGTACTCGCTCAACGTGAATATGACACATAAGATAATTATAACTCACGAGATCGTGACATGTATTATCGCTAATATAGATTGTGATATATGTCACACTCATGGAAGCTACAATGTTCACCAATATTAATATTACAACATTTTATTTGGCAAGCTATATCAGGATGTCTTTCGGTAACAGAAAACCTCCAAGATAGGGGAATTAATAGTGATACACTATCTGCAAGGTGTGGAGCTGAAGAAGAAACAATCAATCACGTTCTTTTCGAATGTCCCCCAGCTTTACAATGATGGACACTCTCCCAAATACCAACACCCACCATTGTTTTTCCAATATTGTCAGAATTTTCAAATTTTGATCATTTATTTTGGCGAATTCCAAAAAAAAATAAGAATACAATTTTCCCTTTGATAGCATGGTATATCTGGAAAGCAAGGAATCATAAGTTTTTTCCAAATGTGGACAGAGGTATATATAAAATTTTGAATAAAGCGAAAGTTGAGGCTACAATCTGGGAGTCGGCACAAAATTTGGATCTAACCATAGCATCTAGAGATATTTCTTGATATGAAGGATTGAAATGTTATATTGATGGGTCTTGGAAGGAGACCGATAATTTTACCGGACTTAGATGGTACTGTTTTCAAGAAAGTGTCAACATAACAATAATGGGAGCTACAAACTTATGAAGAAGTCTTTCTCCCTTACACGCAGAATTAGAAGCGCTTATATGGGCTATGCACTGCATGATTGCGAACCAGAAAATAGCAGTAGCTTTTGCAACTGACTGTTCTGAGTTGGTGAAGATGGTGTCTACACCCGAAGAATGACCCGCTTTTAACTTACAATTGGAGGAATTCAAGAGGAGCAAGGAGGCGTTCACCTTTGTCTCTATTTCACTCATTCCACACGCAGACAACACAAAGGTGGACAAATTAGCAAGGAATGCTCGTGTTCAGCCACAAGATGTTTTTTACGTAAACTCATTACCACCAGTTTGGATAACCTAATCATTTTAGGTACTAAGTCTGTCGATAAAAAAAAAAGATTGTGACATATGTCAATGCAATAATATAAACTTTTCATTTTTAATTATTTAATATAGACAAATAACCAAAAATTAAAGAAAATAATTTTTTTTATTTGAAAAAGTAAATTACAAAAATATATAATTGAAAACATAAACTATTAAATCTTATAAACACTTTCATTCATTTAGAAAGATTTTTTATAGTTAATATGAATTGTTTTTGAATTTTATTACTTGCAAATTACAAAACATAATTTTTTGATAATAAAACGAGAGTTTTAATTCAAATCTAACTACACGGATCATAAAATACTAACTGAAAAATGTAAACTATTAAATCTTATGAACACTACATTCATTTAGAAAGATTATTTATGGTTAATATGAATTATTTTTAAATTTTAGTACTTGTGAATTATAAACATAATTTCACTACAAAAAAATTGTACATTGATAGCATGATTTTCAATTTTACTATCTAAGTTGACCATCTAATTTGGTAACTATATAATAGCATTTGATAAACGCTAAGATAGAGTTTTAATAAGCGGGAAACAAAAATCACCTTTTCCGCCTAACACTTAGCCAAATTTTTATCGGATTTCCCTCTAAACCTTAATTTCTCACTTTTCCCCTCTAAGACTCGACACTTCTCTTTCAGTCGACACTTCCCTCTCGAAAACCCTAAAATTATCAGTTCTCTTTCACTCGACATGATTCGACTCACCATTCTGTCGCCGTCTCCGCTCTCTTCTCTTCTCTGAAGTTCCGCCGGACTGAATTCGCCAGATTTGAGCTCCAATCGAAGGTTGTTTTCTTCCTCATATGATTTATTTGTTTTGATTTTGGACTGTTTGTTTAATTTAAGTTTTGATTGGAGATAAACCTGTTTATTTATTTCGATTCACTCATGAAACCCTAACAATTAACCGTTTCTTTTCGACATGCAAGAGATTTGGTAATTTTGTTCTGTGAGATTTGATTTTTCTGCGAAATTTGATTTAAATCTGCTCACTAATGATTTTGTTCTGCTAAATTTTGATTTAAATTTGATTTAACATCGTGGCTGAGTTTGTAGAATGAATCTGAGTTAAGAACATATGCTCAATCTGGGTTAAGAACATAGTTCATGTTATATATTCGGTTCTGATATGAGATGAAATGTGATTATTTGTTTACTCCATTTGATTATGTTAAATGTAATTTCATTTGTTTATTCCATAAATATGTTGCTGAACATTATTTACTCATGTTTTGCAAGTGTTGGTGAGTGCAATACGGGAATCTCAAGCATTGTTTATCTCTTATCACACGACAGGTTAGTGCCTCCTTTTTCTGCTTGTCTCTTATGTTGATTCATTTTAGTACATGACTCTCTTCTTTGTTGCTGTTTACAGTTTTTTGTTGCTGTTATGGTTTTTTGTTTCTTTCTATGTTTTGTTGTTGCTTCATTTAACCACATTCATTTTAATACATTACTCGTCTGTGTTCATATGGCTAGTATGATGCTTCGTTTAACTAGTAACTCTCTTGTTTTGTTCAAATGGTCTTTTGTTTCTGTTTATGGTCTATTGTTGCTGTTTATGGTTTGCTGTTGCTGTCGTATGATATGTAATTCTTGTAATTGTTTGTATGACTATTGAGTGATTTTGTGATGTGTATGATTCTGCCAATAACTCTGATATAGCTCTTATGGTACTAAAGGTTTTAATTAAGGTAGAACATATAATGGTGGACAAGGATTGGGTGCATATTTGCAGGTAAGAAATTAAAATTATAGGTTAGGTTTCAGTAGGGGTTTAGAGAGTTTACTGGCTTTTTTTTTTTTTACTTCTGCCATGAAGAGCTGATCCAGCGTATCTGAGAGGGGCTTCTAATTTTGTACGAGCTGTGGCTGTGAGTTTGGGAGATGGTGATATGATTATATGTCCTTGCATCGACTGTCGTAACATAGATCGTCACTCAGAAAGTGTTGTCGTCGACCATCTTGTTACAAGGGGAATGGACGAGGCTTATAAATTGCGGGCTGATTGGTATCATCATGGAGAGTTGAAGTCTGGGGTTGAAGGCGACAGTAAGTTCAGTCAGTGGAATGAAGAGATATTTGTGTTATATCAAGCTGCTGAGTTTATGGATGAGCAATTTGTTATTAGTGATGAACTCGGTGAGATTGCAGAGTCTGAGGATAGAAAAGAAGATGAGTTCCTTGCAAAGCTCGCAGATGCTGAAACACCCTTATATCCAAGTTGTGTTAATCATAGTAAGCTCTCGGCAATTGTGACCCTATTCAGAGTGAAGACAAAGAATGGCTGGTCTGACAAGAGCTTCAATGATCTTCTAGAGACTTTGCCGGAGATGTTACCAGAGGATAATGTGCTATACACATCACTATACGAGGTCAAGAAGTTTCTTAAAACATTTGATATGGGCTATCAGAAGATTCATGCCTGTGTCAATGATTGTTGCTTATTCAGAAAGAAGTACAAGAAGCTGGAGAATTGTCCTAAATGCGATGCTTCTAGATGGAAGACTAACATGGTCACTGGTGAAGTAAAGAAAGGTGTTCCCCAGAAAGTGTTAAGGTACTTTCCGATAATCCCACGGCTGAAGAGAATGTTTAGGTCTGAGGAGATGGCTAAAGACTTGAGGTGGCATCATAGTAATAAGAGCAACGATGGGAAACTTCATCACCCTGTGGATTCAGTGACATAGGATCAGATGAATGCAAAATACCCTTCCTTTGCAGCTGAAGAAAGAAATGTGCGCCTTGGTCTTTCGACAGATGGATTCAATCCATTTAATATGAAGAATACCAACTACAGTTGCTGGCCTGTGTTGTTGGTAAACTATAATTTACCACCTGACTTATGCATGAAGAAGGAGAACATCATGCTTTCATTGTTGATTCCTGGACCACAACAGCCGGGTAATAGCATTGATATATACTTAGAGCCGCTGATTGAGGATCTAATACATCTGTGGAACAATGGCGAGACAACATATGACGCTTTTAGTAAAACAACTTTTAATCTGAAGGCATTGTTGCTTTGGACGATTAGTGACTTCCCAACTTATGGGAATCTTGCAGGCTGCAAAGTAAAGGGTCAGATGGGTGTCCTTTATGTGGAAAAAATACATATAGTATGTGGTTGAAGTTCAGCCGAAAACATGTCTACATTTGCCATCGAAAGGGTCTGCCACCAACTCATAGTTTCAGAGTAAAGAAGTCTTGGTTTGATGGAAAATCTGAGAAAAGAAGAAAGGAAGGATTTTAAGTGGTCATGAAATTAGTAAAAACCTCAAAAACTTCAAAAATGACTTTGGAAATCTGAAACGATCTGCACGCAAGAGGAAAAGAACTGAGTGTACTGGATTGGGATCTGATAATGATGAGTCTTCAAGTGAGTCAGATGAGGATGAAGAAGACGAAGTCAAATTAGATGAGGATGAGTTATCACGATGGAAGAAAAGGTCCATATTTTTCAAGTTACCGTATTGGGAGGTATGTTGTCATGTGCATACTATTTTATTTTCAAATTTTTATCCAATCAAGTATGTTTACCTTTCGTTTTACTTATTGTATGTATTCTGTCTATTTTATAGGATCTTCCCGTGAGGCATAACTTAGATGTAATGCATGTAGAGAGGAATGTGGCTGCAAGTATTGTCTCTACGTTGCTACATTGTGGGAAATCAAAGGATGGTCTCAATGCCCGTAAAGATTTGGAGGTACTCGGTATTAGGAAAGATTTGCACCCTAGGACGAAAGGGAAAAGAACATATCTGCCTCCAGCTCCTTGGTCTTTGTCAAAGGCAGAAAAGAAAATATTTTGTACTCGGCTTGTTGACTTCAAAGGACCAGATGGCTACTGTTCAAACATAGCCAGAGGTGTATCGATAAAGGACTGTAAGGTAACAGGTCTAAAATCACACGACTACCACGTGTTAATACAACAACTCCTTCCTATTGCACTTAAAGGTTTGTCACCAAAAGGTCTGAGGCTAGCAATTTTAAGATTATGTGCATTCTACAACCTCTTGTGCCAACGAGTTATTGATAGGGAGCAGATTTTGGTAATGGAAGCTGAGATTGTTGAAACGATCTGCATGTTTGAAAGATTTTTTCCGCCAAGTTTCTTTGATATCATGGTGCATTTGACGGTTCATCTAGGAAGAGAAACCAGGTTAGGTGGACCAGTCCATTTTAGATGGATGTACCCTTTCGAAAGGTATGTTTGCTGTATTTTTTTGTTCATTGTTTATCTTTTCCTAGATGTCTTATTGGTTGTTCATTGGTAACCTATAAATCTTCCAACTTTGAACAGGTATATGAAAGTTCTGAAAGACTTTGTGAGGAACCCTGCAAGACCTGAGGGGTGTATTGCTGAGTGTTATCTTGCTGAAAAATGCATACAATTTTGTAATGAATTCTTAAAGAAGTCTACAAACGTCCACGAAAAGCTAGATAGAAACACTGATTATGAAAATAGTTCTATACTATTTACTCTTTCAGAAATGGATATGAAAATAGCTCATCTTGCTGTCATCCAGAATATGGCTGTAGTGGAACCTTATGTCGAGTAAGTTACATATATTTCTTTTTTTCTTCTCATATATATTTTATAATAAAGTATCTAATGAAGACCTTTATTTTATCTTGTACAAATGAGCACCTTCAGCATCTACAAGACTCAAATGGAAGATGCCGACGTGATGCATCAATGTTATGGAGGATGCATACTGATAAGTTTGCATCTTGGTTAAAACAGCAGGCAAGTAACATCAACTCTATTATTTTCTGTTGTTCTTTCATGTTTATGTTTGTATGTGTCTGATTTTTTTTTATTATTTCTCGTAGATACCACTTGATTCAGACAGCCATGGAAAAATTCTGAAATGGTTGGCATATGGTCCACGTTGCATTGCACGTTCATATACAGGTTACATAGTAAATGGGCAACGGTTTCATACAATGTCAGTTGATAGGAAAAATCATAATAGTGGGGTCTATTATGAGGCTACGGCAATCTGTAGGGCTAGTGCTAAAGACATTTCACAAGTAGTTGATTTGGTCTCATACTACGGCAGAGTGGTGGACATCATACTGTTGGAGTACAACGTCTTTTATGTTCCTCTCTTCCGGTGTAACTGGGCAGTAATGGGTAATGAAGTGAAGATAGAAGATGGTTTTACACTAGTGAACATGAGTCAGAGTCAAGTATCATTCTTACGAGAGCCATATATATTAGCATCGCAAGCAAAGCAGGTGTTTTATCTAAGGGAAGACGCTGAATCAAGTTGGCATGTTGTTATGCGAGGTCCTTCAAGAAGATATAAGAATGATCTGGATGATGGAATTGGAGAGATTGGTCCATTGCCATCGAATGTGGACATGGATATACACATGGATGAATCTGAAAATGCCCGAACTGATTGTGAAGGCATATATGTCTGAAATGTAGTTTGTTCTTCATTTTTACATTCGTTTTTCTTTGCTCTGTCTGATATGCTTGATTGTTAACTGTTTGATTTGAATTTGTGTTTGTTGGTGTGCATTTATGTATGGTATTAAGTCATTGTGTGTGTTCTAAATATTTCAGTTTCATTCATTTCAGGTGAGTTAACATGAAACGGCAATATAAACGTGGAGGAAGAAAAAGGAAAAACAAAGCTGAGGATGAGCCAGAATTCATCGGTACAGTGTACCCTCAAGAGCAGCATCCTGTAGAAGAAGAGAAGCATGCAGATGAGCACCGTGAAGAAGAGCAGCATTCAGAGGATAATCGTGAAGAAGAGCAGCATTCAGAGGAGAACCTTGAAGAAGAGCAGACTGTAGTGAACCGTGAAGAAGAGCTCCCTGTAGAAGATAACAGTGAAGAAGATCAGACTGTAGAAGAGGAAGGAGTCAATAGAGAAGAGAACCGTTTAGAGGACCCACTTGAAGAAGAGCAACCTGTAGAACATGATGGAGTTAATATGGAAGAAGTTGAAGTTGAACCTAAGTGTAAGCGACAGCGAGGACCAACAAGGATGAAAGACATCGCCAATGATCCAAATAGCAGAGTACATGTAGACTTCACTGGCATGGGAGAACCGTATGGTCCAGGGTCTGTGAAGTTGTCATCGTATCTCGGACCATTGGTACGAGAACATGTTCCTGTGACAATTGAAAATTGGACTAAAATCAGTGAAGATATGAAGACAGTGCTCTGGAAATCTGTACAGGTTACCGTTTCTTAACTTTGGAAGCTACTTATGACTTAATAGTTGATTCAAGTAATGGATTTAAATGCTGTTGTAAATGTGATTGATTGCAGGTGAGGTTTGATCTAGATGAAGAGTACCAAAAGACTGCGGTGCTTAAACAAATGGGCTGTTTGTGGAGGGCATCAAAGTCACTGTTGGTTAAGGATATTATGGAAGCTCAGACTAACCAAGAAAGGATGAATATGCGACCTAAGAATGTGAACCCAGATGATTGGCGTAAATTTGTCAAGATCAAAACTAGCAATGAATTTAAGGTAATGAATTTGAAGTAATTACTTTTTTGTGGGATATTAGATGACATATTTATAAAAAATGTGTTAGGTTGTGAGCGATAGCTATAAGGATAGAAGGCGCAAACAGATTCCCCACATGCACTTGTAGTCGAAAAGGGATGGTTAGACTAGCTGAAGATATGGTAAGCATTCTACTATTCTGTTGTTAATTGTCATCAAATGTTAGTGTTTTATATGATATTTCTTTTTTGGTTTAGAAAAAGGAAAGTTCAGATCCTTCTGAAGTGTCAAGACTGAAGGTGTAGGTGAAGTCGCGTACTAAAAAAGATGGGACACCGGTTAATACGACTGCAGCTGAGAAGATTGTGAGTTATAAATTATGTACCTCGTGAATTGGCATTGACTGTACAGTTTGCTAATTGCAAAATTTGCCTGACTATATTTGCAGCAAAAGGCAGCTGATATCGTTGAGTCTGGTCATCCATCAGTTGCAACAAATGAAGGACAAGATACACTTAGCCAAGTGTTAGGACCTGATAACCCTGGTCGAATGAGGGCAATGGGGAGAAATATGAGTAAGACCAAAATAGCTTGTTTCCAAGTTCAGCACAAGTGTATTGCAAAAATGGAAGAGAACCAAATTAATCTCCAGCAAAAGGTTATTGAGCTACAAAATGAACTAGCCATACTTAAGAAACAGGTAATCCACTTTTCTATGTGTACATTAAGCTGCTGTATTATTACATAGATGAAATTCTGATTTTCTTATGGTATGTCGCAGAGACAAGAACCTGAAGTTGGTGAAAACTCTGCTGCAAGAGTAAGTTATTCATATCGCTGCAATTGATTTCTTTCAAATTTACAGTCTAACTTGTTTTTTGTCTACTACAAATTTTAATAGAGTGTGAACAAAAAAGCACAACCAAAGTGTGTCTTGATTGACTGGGCTGGTGATAATGCAAACGTTGCTGAGGGACGTATTATATCTTCTGATCCGCATGATCTGGTGAATGAGAGTCGTTTAGGTCCTTCTGATGTTAAAGTGTTGGTTGACATTGCCACGGTACCAGAAGCATTCCTTTGGAGACCTGCTAGTCAGATGTTCACAATTGAAGAAGCTGTTGGGCATATGATTGCATGGCCTGCCGCAAAGTGTGTTAACATGGAACAGGGGGTCGAAGAAGAAGACATTGCACCATTGGTAAAGTTATAACTTGTTATTGAAATAATGAGTTTTGACAGATTCTTAATAACTTAAATAGTCTGTGTTTTATTAATGTGTTTAACAGGGCTCAAGAACAAATTATTTGAACAAATGCAAAATACTTGATTTGTCTACAGATGATGTTGTTGTTGCTGAAGGCCGTTGGCACACACAAGAACCGAAAGCTTTGGTGAATGGACTTCCACTCGGGCCAAAGGCTGTAAAAGGTTTTGTTGATGTGGTAAATGAGCCTAATACATTTATATGGAGGCCTACGTTGGATGTCGCATACATAGAAGACTGTTTACACTCCTTTGTAGCATGGCCTGTCACCAAAGTTATCTTCAAAAACAACCCAGGCGAATCAGGTGTGATATCTCCTACTCAGAAATCTGCATCAAATACTCAACCAGCACATGGAAGATCAGCATCAGCGTTTGAAATATCCACGGCAACAGGTTCTAAATCTCATATGTAGACATCTTCAGCACCGTCTCAGAAGTATCCAACAAAAGTTCCAAACTCTACTGCGATGGAAACTCAACCATCTGTACGGTCCCCTCTTCGAAGATCATCGGTAATAATTTTAATATGTTGTCAATTTGAATATGGTTATGTCTGATACCTGTAGTAAACGGTTATGGTTATATTGTGAACTTGTCAGCGTAAAAAAGTAGCTATCAAGGAAAATCAGAAGTGTAAGTTAATGGATATTAGTGGAAGAAAGCGGGTTGTTGCTTAAGGACGGGTGCATTCAACTGATCAAGAGCAAAAGGTACACTTTGTTCGCTTGGGTCCTAATGTTGTGCGAGTTTGGGCTGATACTGTCAAGGTAGATGACGCAGCGGTTTGGAGGCAATCAGACGAGATTGAATTTATGAAAGATGCACTTGGTTCATCTATCGCATGGCCAATTGATCAGTTGGTCATCTACTGACTGTTTTAAAACTGAGGTAAGTGTTTATATTGGTGTGATCACTGTGTTTCAGTTTTTCCATGTGCAAGACTAATATAGGACAATGTCCATGATGGCAAGGAATGAAGTAAACTTTGGTCCAGCTACTTTAAGTTATATGCAAGACTTGTGTTCTGTATTTTGGATTGAAATAAGACTTCTATTTGGTATGTTAGATTCGGAGTTGTGTTTTGGATGTTGGATTTATAATGTGTTTCGTATGTTGGATTCAGAATGATGATGTTATGTTTGTTGGATTGGTTTCCAGATTTTATAAATGGTTTCATTTTAAATTTAAAGATAGCATTCATAAGATAGCAGTATGACATATATATAATAGCACAACAAAAAAACCTTAAAAGCAACTATAATAGCAAAAAAAAAACGTTATATTATATTATCATAGGGGTGAAACTATGATATGTAATTGGTTATTATAACAAAAGTAAATGTCATGAAAACATAAATTATGGCAATAATTATTTGCTATTGTATACTTATATATTATAGCACATAACTGAAGAATCATAACACAAAAGTAGTGTTATGATAAAAAAAATAATTACAGCCAAATAGTGCTATCGTATTGGAGCCTTTCATAGCAGACGAAAAAAACGCTATAATATGGGTTGTATCTACCATAGCTGCCGAGATCATAGCATTTGTGAATTCGCTATCTATTACCTATCATAGCAGATTTTCCGCGCTAAGAATATACGTTTTTCTTGTAGTGTTTTTGGATAATAAACAAACGGTTTAATTCATATTTACTATACAGGATGCAGATTTTCATTCAATTTAGAATTTAAACATTGAGATAATTACACTCTATGGCTCTTTCTCAGAATATTTACACTCTATAGCATTTTATGTTGAAGTAGCTCTTTCAATGCATTTTCACTAGCAAAAGGACATCATGGCCCTCTTCTTTATTCTTTGTCACTAAACCATAATCATCAAACCACATTAAACCAACATTTTTTTTTCTTCCTTCTTCCTTCGTGCTTTTTCTATTCTTTCTTCTTCTCAATTTTTTTTTCTATTCTTTCTTCTTCTCCACTTTCTTCTTCTTTCTATTATTTCTTCTTCTTTCTTCATTTCTTTTTTCTTCTTATAGCTTTTTACATATTTTATAATTTGGATATGAGGAGAGGTAGAAACTCTCCGCTGTGGAGCGTCTCCGCTGTGAAGCGTCACCAGCAGCTCAGAAACTTTAGATCTGCAAAGCTTTTCATCAAATAATCTCTCAGGGCTCATCCTTGGTCCACTCCTTTTGGTGCTTGGGCTTTCGTCAGCTTAACCACTTCAGTCTTCACCAGAACGCTTTCGTTCTCAGCCGCACAAATCCAAGACATGGTCACATCCACACACACAGTCATATGGAAGTATCCACCAGTTCTTATCCATGCATTCATCTAATCCATGGTTACGTATTCATTGTTATAGACCTGAGGTAACATGGTTAATGTATCTTCCTTAAGTTGGTTCATCCTCTCCTTGTACTCCCTCTTAATCTTTTTTTGCATCTTCATTTCTTATAGATTTGGTCTCATGTTCTTGACAAAGCTCTCAAACTCTTGCTGAGCTTGCAGCCACTTTCCACCATCATATGGTGGTCTCCCGACTGCCACAACCAAATGTTTGTCCAGATTTGCATTTGGATCAATATGTGTGTATCCATGTGGACATGGACACAAAGCGTTGCATCACTCTCTATTTGTCCATAAGTGATGACCCCCTCGACCAATTCTGATTCCTCCAACGATGGACGTAAAGTTTATGAACGTATCCACACA